TAAATATATATATATGTATTTATTTTCGATATTCGAATCTTTGAAATGCGCCAAAAAGATGTCAGGGGCTAGAAATTGGAATGCGAAAGCAATGTTGACAGCGAGTCCAACTATTAACGGATCCAAATCTGTGTATGTCTATGGCTATGTGTGTGTGTGTGTGTGTGTGTGTGTGTGTGTGGGCCGTGCAAATTGTTGGCCAAGAATATGGCAAGGTGAGGCGAAAGCTGAGCGAACGCTCTATATGAAAGTTACATCAAAAGATATTAGAGAACTTATCGGAGCATTAAGTATCCCCATTACTCCATACGCACGAATGATGAACTAAAGATACCCAGCAATGCCCAATGGTGCATATGAAGTGGAGCAATAAGCTTAGGATTTCTGCTAAGAGTAATATCATTTGGCATAATTATTAGCCATTATTAATTAGGGATGGGTCAGAGTTGCGCCGTTATTTATAATTTAATAGATCGTTACAAGAGTTTTTCATAAATTGGAATATTAACTACACTAATGCATATTATTTATTATTTATTGCTCATTATTAATTAACTATACTTAGTATTTATTACGTACTACTCATTATTCATTACTCAAAATATATTACTCATAACTCATTAGTCTTCACTCATTACCCATTATTCATTGCTCATTGCTTATTATTCATTACTTATTACTTATTACTCATTATTCGTTATTCACTACTAATCATTCATTACTCATAATTTATTACTCATTATTCATTACGCATTGCTCATTATTGATTACTATTACTGATTACTCATTACTTTTCATTCATTTCCAATTATTCATTGCTCATTGCTCATTACTGATTACTCATTGCTTTTTATTCATTACCCATTATTCATTGCTCATTGCTCATTATTCACTACTCATTATTCATTACGCATTGCTCAAATAATGTTTTTTTTTTACGCATTACTGATTACTCATTTCTCTTCACTGATTACCCATTATTCATTGCTCATCACTCATTTAATATTATTCATTATTCATTGCCTATTGCTCGTTATTCATTGCGCATTATGTATTACTCAATATTACTTACAAAAATTACTATTTCTATTTTCTGATTCGAACATGGTTTCTATAAAATAATACGATTTCAGGGTTGGTATTTTTTCCCCAAGGTCCTTTTGTTTATTAACATACAGCTTTTCAGGCTAACTGAATTTTCGAAATTATTTAGCAACTTTAGGTCAATGGGAACTTCATGTACTCTAATTCCTAAATTCATATTTCATAAGTGGTGGAAATGGAGTTCAAAGAAGATAATACGTATCTGAATTTTTGAAATCACTTTAATCCGCAATAAATAAACAAATTTGTGTTTTACTAACGAGGTCATACTGTACTCATGCAAACATTGGGTGTACTCATTTCCGATTCCTTCCGGTTTTATTTTGATATACATATGTATGTAAGCCCAACTCGCTTGAAGTTTCTCACTTTTCAATAGAACCGAGTGTTGCATTCACTTTCATCAAACTTGTCAAATTTTGATGTGTTTATCCAATAATTACGTATGTATATGTATGCTGTGAAAACGATCTAGGTAAACTAGTCAACAACAAGAGTTATCTAGAGTTTCGTGGCTCATTTTCCGGTCGCTCAAGAGCAGAATCAAGGGCAACTCGGGCCGCGTCACGTCACGATTCCATAAGTCATCCGATCGCTTGGCTTTATTTGTCGGTTTAATTTAATTGAGTTTATGCTTCCCACTTGGCTCTGATATTCTCTATAGATATGGGTATATGCAAATGTATGTATGTATGTATGTCTGTTTTTTTCCATTTGATATGCTTGGT